AAGGTAAAATATCCAAGTTAAAAATGGAGATTTAAGAGATTACTGCAAGTTAAGATTAGACTTTTGATTTAGGCATTTTTTTAATATTACATATCTTCCCTTTCAAACAGGAAAAAGGATTATTAACAGAAAAGCTTTATTAGAGGAAAAAAAATATTTAAACATTAGAAATTGCAAATATATATTATATACCATGCATACAATTTTAAAACATGACAAATATATAAAAGAAAAAAAATATTTTTATCAAAAATATAGCCTTTAGGTTAAACTATTACTTCATTTTCTTCTTTACTCTCTCATATACCAATGAAACAAAATTATAGATAAAAATGATAAATTAGAAGTGATTCTAAATAATTGCAAGTGAAAAATAATATAAATTACAAGTGATGATGAAGATGAGAAATGATATACATATAGGGATCAAAATGATAAGCCAACTTAAATGTCTTCAAATTTTCTCTTGCAATATGATAAAATTCTCCTAATCATCAAATTTTTCTAAGGAATATTAAAAAAGTTCAAAGTTTTTGAACTTCTAGGCTTAAATATTATTATGCAGCTTTCTTTACAGGCTTTCTCTTGCAGTTTTTTTTTATTTTTTTTAATGAAATTGCTATATTCAGTACAAAACCTAGAAACCCTATTTTACACAATCATTAAATTTATAAAAATAATTATTTTTGCATATTATTATAAAATATTTCACATTTTTCTATTATAAAGCAATGTAAAACTTTTTAGCAAGGGACATGCATACAAAAATAAAAATATTAAAATAATTTTTGATAATGCAGGTCCTCTGCAAACAGATCAACATAATGCTCACTGATAAATCTCGGCTGCTTAAATGCTACAGTAAATAAAAGAACCAATTACTTATGATACAATAACTAGCAATTAGCATTGTATAATTATAACAATTTCATTAAATACAGCCATAATTAAAATATTTCTTATCAAATACATTCAAATATTAACATAAATACATAAAAGTTTAACTATTTAATAAAATATTCAAACTCTATATTCAGGTTAGGTCTTACAAATTTAATGGATAAAACAACTTCATGTTACCTTACAAAAATAAAATTTTAAATTTTAAATATTACTGTGGCAGCACAATGTGCTAAAAGAGGAATATGGTTTGTAAAACACACTCAGCCAGTTCATGACCATTGCTGGCTCTTCTACAATGCCCTCTTTTTTTATAATCAACAGCTCATTACATAATTATAATATTCATTCATCATAATTTCAAATTGCTTTTTTTTATATATTTTACTTTTAAATTAGATTACATGTATTCCTACTTATTACAATTATTAAATTTCTTAAACCGTTGATATACATTTTATAATTATTATAATATATTCAACAATATTTAATATTTTCTATATTATACTTGAAACATGTAATTTCTGTATCATTTTCTATACTAATACTCAAAACTGTTAAATTCATGTTTCACATTTACCTTATTTTCTAAATAACTCAAAAATTTCTAAAAATAATTCAAAATTGTAATTATTAGGATATTAAATTTAAGCATTTTTCCTAGATGAAACATTTAAAAATTTTTTTTAAATCATCACTTAATTTATTCAACATGGTTACAAAAAAATTTCTAACACCATAAAAATTTTAATTTGAAATCATGAAAATAGCATTATATATTTAAAATTCAAAATAAAATCATTAGTAATTTTATATTTGATAATTATATAAAATGATTTAGTTGCATTAATGAATAAATAAATTAATTATTTCAGTTTTATGGAAAATTTTAAGCAAATGCTGGTTAACAAGATGATATATTTTTTAATAAATTCATAGGTTATAACTGCTTAACTATTAAAGATAAGCATTTAAATCATAGCATTTAAATTTTTCTCAGCAACAATTAATATGCCTTTCCAAAACAGATAAATAAAAAAGAAAATCATAGCACTTTCAGCAAATAAGAAGGGTAGTTTCATCGTAGAGATGATTTTTATTAATTTACATCGAAAATAGAAATGGATGAAAAACATCTCATTAGGCACTTGAAATCACTTTATTATTATACACAGCATATTTAAAACAGATTCTTTCCAAAAATAAATTTTGCATTCCAAATCAGCTTACATTATTAAAAAAGAATTATACGGCTCATTAACTCTCTACTCTTTAAATATCATGTGATATACAAGTATTGGGGGAAAAAAAAAAAAAATCCCTATAGCAAAATTGAGGGATCAGGCTGCCTGAGAAAGCAATTGCTCATCATGCAATGCATTCAAGCTGAGCTAAGTAGTGTGTCATTGGGTGTTATCTTGTTGCAAAATGGCAAGTGGAGTAAAGTACAGAAGACTGAGCGGTAGCACATCATAAACATAAACAGCATCCCATTAATGTTAACCATAACTTTTTTCATCTGCATTTTACAAATACCTTTTAAGTGACTAATATGCTCAATTAAAATCACTTGCTGATGGACTTTGGCAATATTAGTAGTATCAGTCTCTATGAAAAGAATTTTCAAAGATAAAATACATAAAACTTAAAAGTCAGCATTGACTGACATATCTGAATTGATTTCTATGTCATCAAAATTAAAGATTTCTAATGAATTCTGATAATAGATAACATAAATTTTTAACCTAAATCAAGCAAAACACGATTAATAAAAAACAAATTGCACAATTTTGTTAATTAGCTTATCTTATGTCCAATTATGCTCACTGCAACTGTATTTTGAATTTTGTCAGCAAAGGATTTAGAGGGACCTTTCCTGTTTTGTTCGTACTTACCTAGTTAATAACATGGGTGATCAAACTTTATGGTGATAGGAGCTGCACAGTAGGTTTCATGAATACTCAAGTGTTATGAAAATCCATTTGGATTTTCCAGGAGCCGTAAATCCATATTTATATCATTTCAAAAATAATACGACAGTTTGGACAGAAAGAAACTTTAGAATGGAACAGAAATTCTCACTTTTTAAGTAATTAATATGCTTTCATATAAATATAAATAAATAAATCTTATTTCTTCTGTTCTATGTTCAGAATGATATGGGCCGAGAAAATATAAGTTTGAAACCATCGTACGATGCAACAGAGTGTTCTTCCAGAGAGCAGAATTACATTTTTTAAAAAATATTTCCAAGTTTGTCTGGTTTTATTAGAAATAAACTGAAATTGAAAGAATAAGTGTGGTTCTTTTTTCATTTGCGTGAAGTATAAATAAATAAATAAAAAAAAAAAAAAAAAAAGAGATCAGGTATTTTCTTTTATTTTTAAATCATATGCACTCTGTACAGCATGCAATGCAGAGAAATGGGACAGCATACAATGCAGAGAAACTGTTATTCAAGAATGAAAAACTATTTTAAAATACGCTAACAATTTTTTTAGGCTTTGTGTAAAAATTAACATTTTGTACCCGCACAACAGACATGAGGATCAACACACTGAGATCAAATCTAACCTTAGGTATTTGAATCAGTTCATTAGATGAGAACTGGATTAAAAGCCACATTTTTTCCCCTCCATATGTCTGGTTTCAGGTATCTTTTATTTCTAATGTCCAGGCTTGGAATCTTAAGAGCTTTTTCATCATTTGAACCTTTTAAATCTTGACATAAGAAATTATTAAACACTTAACCAAACCTTAGACTAACTAGTTTTATTGATGTCCAATATGCATAGAAAAATTCACTAAAAAAAGAATAAGATTGCAGTTTAGTAGTATCTGATTCATCAATATCATTCATGATGGCTGTGAGTGTTACTCTGTTTCAGTAACGCATCCAGCAAAATTTGTAGAATTTTTAAGCAATCAATCACTGAAAATTTTCTAAATTGTTTACCTAATTGTCTACTAATACTAAATAATGTAGTATTATTTAGTATTAGTAGACAATTAGGTAAACAATTTAGAAATTTAGAAATAGGTAAACAATTTATCAATCACTGAAAATTTTCTAAATTGTTTACCTAATTGTCTACTAATACTAAATAATGTAGTATTGTACATCCAGCAATTCATGGCATAGTAAATAAACTCTGCATTGTGCACATACTACAGTTATTGTCTACCAGTTGAAATCTTTAATCATGGTTGTTGAATTTGGAACTTTCTTATACAAGGTATTCAAAATTGAAGGACCAGGAAAAAATCATACATGCGATTTCTGTAATGAACTGATTTCACACAGATATATTAAAATTTAACTCTCCAAATTTCTATGGACATATACAGATATTCGATGTAGAGACTGTGATATGGCAGACATCTGCACAATAATTTAGTTCCTGAGGCTTACTACACAGGTGTCAGGATCAACCCTATGCCAGCTGTTAATTACTGAAAGCATAAAAACTGCCACCTGATTTATCATCTCTTAAACTTCTTAGAAACTTCTTTGAAAATAAATCTCCTCAGCTTGTGAGAGAATAATGAGTAACAGCTCAAATAAAATTAAAATATTACTTGCAAGATTAAGTGCATTGGAAAGCTTCAACTCAGGCCTTTAAGCTCTCCTGAATAGTTACAGTGAAAGTCAGTGATAACTACCCAAAACTCTGTTTTGAACTTGGGAACTCTGGGTTTGAATATATTAACTGATTTGTATTCTCGTGGAAGATGAAAGTGAAGTAAAAGGGAAATAATAAAATAACAAGTTTATAAACATAAAACCCTATACAAATGACAGAGAGAGAAGACAGCCTTGCCTGACCGCACTGTACTTGCTGATACTGGGAAAAGACTAGCTTGTCTTTCATGTACTCCCAAAGAAATAAAATCTTATTTACTTCTCAGACCACAAATACCTAAAAATACCTAATATCTGACATTTAACAAAAATAATTTTTGAATCTCCGACTTAAAATAATCAATATATGGTGTAAAAAGAAAAGAAAAAAGATAGGTATAAGTATTTAAAAACTGTTCATAATTGCACCAAAATTTAGAGATAAAGGTAAAAATATGTTATTTTATTTCATACTTACATGTTTTAATATGAGTCAAATCACAATACGGACGATTGTTTGTCTGCTTGCAACGGCATAAGAGAAATCGACCACTTTTTGGAGGATTAAAACGAACAGGTTTTAGCTCCTTTGGATCATTTTTATGTGAACCATCACAAAATGGCTAAAAATAAAAACGTTGCACGATTACAGTTTATGTGAAAACTTTGAATAAACAAAACACATGATAATTTGGTGGTAAAAACAGAAATACTTCACTACCTCATATTCTGCTTGCATTAAATTAAAAAAATAAAAGACAGTCATTTTTATTCTTTGAATATTGATTAAAATTGTATTAATAAATGAAATCGACGAAAAATTCAATTTATACTAAATAAGCCAAATCTCATTTAAAAATCACTTTTTTTAAAAAATAATGTACATGATTTTGGTACTTAGATAACTTACATATTTTTGATAAATCTGATACAATTTGTGTGTGGGGGGGGAGCATTCACACAATAAAATTCAATTCATTCATTCACATGCACTCAAATTCCTCTTTAGGGGGGAAGCTCATCTCCTCCCCCCAAAGTAAAAATAATAATAATAATAAAAACAGAAAAATCTGAAAGGTTTCAGATTTTAAATTATGCCCAAAGGCTTTTTTTCTAACATTTTGTGTGTTACCTTTATTTATTAAATATCATGTTCTTTGCACTTAAAAAATAAAATTCAGTTCAAGAGCAATATCACAAAATCATTTTAAATTAAGCATATCTTTAGAATTTCCAATACGCAGTCTCCCGTGCTGGAGATAAAAATGTTTTTTTTCTGTACAACAGTGTCATTTCTCGCTTTGAAATCCTTGGAATTTGTTAATCACAAATTCGTTAAAATTTTACAAATTATGAATTCGATAATAAAACAAATTCCAAATTTCCTTCCAGATGCCCATATTTGCAGTAGGATTACGTTATTCAGAATTTGATGGCGCTAGGTATTGTTTAATCACAATGCGAGAAACATACTGTTACGAAATGTCCAGGCACGGTAAGATAGCTTCCCACAAAGCAGGTTTAGGGTTGCCATAAAATGGCAAAGGAAGGCAGGGTTGCCGCATTTGTGGAGAAATCTCTCATTTGGGGACAAAATTGGCAATACGCCATGGACAAATGGAGAACCTTCTGGAACAAATTCTTACAGGTTTACCCCAGAATGTTGTGGTCTGAGTGGGTCGTTGAGTGCATAGTCAAGAGAGTGAGTTGAGCTTCGGGAACGACTAAACCGAAGAGTTGTAACCTGTGCTCTGTGTGCCGTCGAGAGTACGTGGAGTTCCAAGAACCACCAAGCAGAGTCGGGAGCTGTACTCTGTTGCTTTACAGTGAAACTGTCTCTTCCGTTATAGCCTGATAACCTGGAGGCTGTGTTGCTGATTGTCACAGCGTGTGTATAGTAATTCTTCAACGACTGTAAATGTTATATTCGAGCTGTCTTGGGTAATACTGGCCAATAAAGTGTGTTTCGATACTTTATCAAGTGTCGTCCTTATTCACTCCAAATCCAAACAAACCCTGTATGAACGTAAAAGAAGAAAAATAACGTAACAAGTGGTGTCAGAAAATAACACTTTAACTGGTGTCAGAAGTGGGATTTGCGAGTGAATGCCAGTAACCCGCCTGTACAGGAAAGCCATGGTGGAGGAAGCGAAGACTTTGATGGACTTCTTAGCCGAGATCAGAGCCAGACGAGAAGCGATGAAAGCCGAGATAAAAGCTGAGATCAAAGCCGAACTGAAAGAGATGAAAGCCAGACAGAAAGAGGTGAAAGCTGAAATGAAAGAGTTAAAAGCCAGACGTGCTGAGATAAAAGCCGGATATGAAGAGATAAAAGCTGGATATGAAGAGATGATAGCTGATATGAAAGTTGGACGAGAAGAGATGAAAGCCGGCCGAGAAAAAGTGCAAGAGCAACTCCAACAGCTGAAAGTGGAGCTTGCAGAAGAAACTGGAATCATAAAAGAAGATATGAAAATTACAAAAATAGCTGGAGTAGCTGATGAAGTTTCTGAGAAAGATCAAGAAATGAAGAATGAAACATCTTATGAGATTAAAGAAAGAGAACGAAAAGATGAAGAAAAAGACGGGGAAGACGCTTCTCATCCTCAGGTGTCCGAAGTTGAACTGGAAGACAGTGATAATACTGTTTGTAAAGGTGAAGAAATAATTCATGTAAATAAAGTTCCTGATTCTCAAGTGCCTGAAGTGGAAGAAAGTAAAAATGCAACTGTTATGTTCAATGAAACTGAAAGTGAAATTATGAAGTTGCAATTAGCAAGAGTTGAACCATCTGAAAGTGCATGTGATGCAGAGAGGGGAGAAGATCATGTGCAGCTTAATCAGTGCACTCCAGTATTGCAAGAAAATTCACTCACTTCACAAACTGGGTATGTACCTCATAGTGCAGGTTTTGCAGACAAGGACTTGATTCTAAACCTGGATACTTCTGCTTGTAAAGGATCGAGTCTATTCATGACCCTGGTGCAAACATCGGAACTGGCTTTCAGGAAATAGAGGTAAATAAGCAGCATGTACCATTTCTCTAAAAATACTAAGGTGAACTATATGCACGTTGCAAATGATCCACAGAGTGGTGAATGAACTTTTTAGATCTTTCAGTGGATGAAAGGTCTGAATCTTCTGACTGTGATATGCAAAACAGAAATGCCTCTGAGAACTGCAGTGGAAAAGTATTTGGCCTGGGTATAACTTAATGAAAAGACTGAGACTGAAATTCATTCTGAACTTTGTATAATTTAAAATTATTATGTGTTTAATTTGTGTATATAGTGTAAATATTTGTTTTTTTAGTTATGTTACCTGTTCGTTTTATTATGTTTTGCTTGTATCGAATTTGGCTTCTGACCAAGGGTTGTACTGCCTGGGACGTGCGGTCCTTGGGAGAAGGCAGTGTTACGAAATGCCCAGGCGTGGTAAGATAGCTTACCCGCAAAGTAGGTTTAGGGTTGACATAAAATGGCAAGGGAAGGCAAGGTTGGGAGATTTGGCGAGAAACTGCCCATTTGGCGATATACCATGGATGGATGGAGAATCTTCTGGAATGAATTCTTACCGGTTTACCCCAGAATGTTCTTGAACACAAGCCAAAAATTATATAAACCCTGCTGGTATGCAGAGAGTGAGTGCGAGATAGTTAGTCTCCAGTGAGTTAGTCTGTGCAAAGTTGATCGAGTTGACAGCCGGGCAGTGAGTGCCGAGTGGGTCGTCAAGAGCATTGAAAGAGTCTCTTAGTGTATCGCGGTTAGTGCATTGTTGAGAGAGTGTGTTGAGCTCCAGGAACGACTGAACTGAAGAGTCAGGAGCTGTGCTCTGTGTGTTATCGAGTGCATCGCGAGTTGTAGCATGGTGTCTCGAGAGTACGCGGAGTTCAAAGAACGACCACGCAGAGTCGGGAGCTGTACTCTGGTGCTTTGCAGTGAAGCTGTCTCCACCGTTATAGCCTGATAATTTGGAGGCTGTGTCGCTGATTGCTACAGTGTGTGTTTACAGTCCTTTGATGACTGTAAACATGATATTCAAGCTGTCTTGGAAAATACTGGCCAATAAAGTGTGTTTCGATACTTGATCAAGTGTCATTGTTATTCACTCCAAATCCACACGAACCCCGTACGAACGTGAAGGAATAAAATAATGTAACAACCGGTGTCAGAAAATAACACAACAATACATACATTTATGCAAATTCTTCATTATTTCATTTCTTCAAATCTAATACAGGGTGATAATATTTGCTGATAACAGTTTTAAAAGTGAAACGGACATTCAGAGTGATTTGACGAAAAATCAGAAAACGAAAACAATAGTCCCTCAGGGACAAAGCCCCTTTGGATTAGAAACTGAGTAGTTATCTACAGAGGTGCCATGATATGACACTATATATTATGTATCCCCCTTTGACTTGTAATTCTTTTATATTATGATTAAAAGAAAAATATTTCAAAGATCATTCTACTGGGTGTTTATTTGTTTGAAATAGGATAAGGAAATAAACCTTCCTGTTAAAACACTGGTAACCCAACTATGGCGCTGAAAGTCCCTACATAGATCATCAAAATTAAAAGTGATGATAATGGACAGCCCATGGATACATTAAAGATAAGTAGAACTTTAATGTTTGATGATTTCTAGTTAATTTGGAACTAAAGGAAAAGTAAAGAATTCTAGTCACCTTGACCTAATTTTGTTTTGACTAATCATCAGAATAATGTGACCAGACGTCCCGATTTAGGCGGGACAGTCCGGATTTCAGACTTCATGTCCCCAGGTCCCTCGCTTGTCCCGGCGGGACGCCTGTTAGTCCCTCTTTTCTGCAAAAGAGGCTCTTAATGTCAATTTGGTAGAAGACTCCAAAGGTTGACATCGATAATATTTCACGAAGTAAGCTACATTATCCTATTTATTTCACAAAAAAATATTGCAGATTGGAATTGTCAGAAAACTAGTCTCGAGTGTTGATGGGTTGAAATTTTTCGCCATTTCAAGGATGAAAACGTGCCATGTGCGCAAATCCAGAAAACTGTGGAGTTTTTGTTGTCTTCCAGGGACAAACCCCGCCAGTGAAAGAGTTTTCTTGTCTATGAATATCATATGGACAACTGAAGAGACACAGTTAAAACTGGAAACACTACAAACAATGTTAATGGTGAAGTGCAATTTTGAGTTTGACTGTTCTTGTGATGAAGTCTATGAAAGACTTCTACAAGAGCCAAAACTTCTTAGAAGCATTCATTCGTCAATGAAATACGTCTACGAAGCACCTACACAGGATGATCCTTCTAGGTCAGCGGCTGATCAGGAAGGCCTATCGTCTGCGTCGAATTAATATATTTCCGACGTCATGTGCTGGATGGGCACATTCAAGCAGTAACATATGTAGAAAGTTACAAACTTTTATTTTCCGTCTGTTTTTTTTTTTTTTAATTCTTTGTTCGCTCTTACTCTTACTGAAAGCGCACCTGAGTTGTCTAAGTCCAGATCCCAAAGTCTGTGATTGTTGATTTAGTAATTAATTCAGTCTGAGATATGGATAAATTCTATTTTTTCTTTCAATAATAGATCTGTTTAACACAAACACTAATTCGCAAATGATGGGTAATTCTTT